ACTGATTTTGAAATAGATTTTTATCCAGCTGTCACAACCCCTAGTGGCTCTTCAAAGTATTGCTTGTGGTCAGTTAATTAATTTGTTTAATTAACCAAATTCAGTTAAATTTCTTTCCATGTTTACATTAAAAAAACTAAAAGTTTCTTGTTTAAGGAGTTTTTTTTTTATTTTTTATTTTTTAAAGGCACAATCTGGGTGTTATGTACATTTAGAGAAAGCCTGACAGAGTTTGGGCAGCTAGTGAAGTTTAAAAAGTAAAACAAATGTAACCAGAGTAACCATTGACCATTAGTCATGTGAAAACAACCATCAAATTCGCCCCATCATCCGACCGTCCAGTGTAGACCAAAGTGGAGATGTTTGGCACATTTGGAGAAAACTGCACAGAGCATATTCACACAAAAGCCTCATACCAACTGACAGCACAGTGGGAAGGCTGATGATTTGGGCTTAAAGTGGAATCTTCAGATGTATAAAAAGTGTCACAGTGAGGTGCTGCTACATACAGTACAAGTCAATATTAATTACTCTGTCAGACATTCCTTGAGGTTTTTTACTCATTAAAAATGTCAAAGTTGCACAAAGACTATTTTTATTTTGCATAGATTTAAAAACCCAAATGGCCTAGGAACAGGTAAGTCGCACAGTTCAGGCTACCTTTCTCTAGTTGAGTGATGCATGATGTTTTTTGTCCCTCAGAGTTACGTCTGGTTCAACATCGGCAGCGTCGACACATTTGAGAGAAACCTCGAGACGGCAGTTCTGGAACTCGGAATGGAGTCAACGCACCGACCTGCCGTCGTCTACAGCTCTGAGAGTGATGGGTGGGTTTGGACACACAAACGCAGCATGCATTATGTCAGCCAGAGACTTTAATCTGGGGTAAAATCATTATTAAAAAGGGCCTAACAACCTCAGTTTCTATAATAACAACAAAGTAGCTTTCCTAACGCTGCTTTTTCTTCCTTCAGCTCTTTCCTGTTGAGCATGATCCCGACCGTGCTGCTGATTGGCTTCCTGCTCTTCACGCTGCGGCGGGGACCAATGGGAGGAGGCGCTGGAGGTGGTAGGAATCCATTTAGCATGAGCGAGTCAACAGCCAAGATGATGAAGGACAACATCGAAGTGAAGTTCAAGGATGTGGCTGGTTGTGAGGAGGCCAAGCTGGAGATAATGGAGTTTGTGAACTTCCTGAAGAACCCGCAGCAGTACCAGGACCTCGGAGCTAAGATCCCCAAGGTAAAAATCCGAGCTTTGCAGACACGGACTTTTCATCTGGTGGAATTTTTGTGGTACTGCTGCCTTTTGCATCACGAGATTTACAGCATGTTTTGGAAAATATTTTGTTTGACATCCTCCCTGTGAAACTCCCACTATCGCCATATTTTCCTTGTTTATATCTGGTAGTATATAAACATGCATGAATTAGATCTAGACAACTTAATATTTCCATGGCAGCCTTTATTTGATGGTTACAATAAAGTCATTTTAACCTCTCGATACATCAAGTGTATGCAATAGATCTCCCACCCCTAGTTTCTGCAATACCAATAACTTACTTTGACTGCATTTGATCATCTGTTTTATTTATGACTTTGCTTACAATCTTGTTTGTCTGCATTGCTTTGCTCAGATATGTGTAGAAATGCTTATGAAGAGTTTATTTCACATTGATGAGTCCCTGCTGCACATTTTATTAATAAAGCTTTTACTGTAGTCCATTTTTCAGAGTTTTGTTCCATTCTGAAGATAAAGTACTTTTATTTGAGCACATTATTAGTGTAAAAACACTGAGCTGTTTTCCCTGCTGTGTGTTGGAAATTCTGGACTCTTAACAGTTTTAATCCTGTAGTAGGATCCGAAAACGAAACCTGAAATGAAATCAGTCATTATTCGTAAAGATACAGGCTAAAGACGAGGCATTTATAAATTAGTGCCGTTTTTTGTGAGGGGCAGTTTGTCTTGGATGTGAACTTCTCTCAATCGCTTTTAACTGATGCCGTTTTTATCTCAGGGAGCCGTGCTGTCCGGACCTCCTGGTACGGGAAAGACTCTGCTGGCCAAAGCTACAGCTGGAGAGGCCAACGTCCCCTTCATCACCGTCAACGGCTCAGAGTTCCTCGAGATGTTTGTGGGCGTCGGTCCGGCCCGAGTAAGTGAATGAACCCGGAGCAGATCCTGGAGCATCTGAGATGACTCTGTTCAGACACTGAATGTTTGACTGTTCTCTCTCCTCATGAAGGTGCGGGACATGTTTGCCATGGCGAGGAAGAATGCCCCCTGCATCCTCTTCATTGATGAGATCGACGCAGTGGGGAGGAAGAGAGGAGGGGGGAACTTTGGGGGTCAGAGTGAGCAGGAGAACACCCTGAACCAGCTGCTGGTGGAGATGGATGGTAGGCAAGCTGCATTTTTGAAGTGGAACATACTATCCCCCCCAGCCCCCCATTAGATTTAAGTGTCTTCATCTTTTTCTACAGGTTTTAACACCGCCACGAATGTGGTGGTCCTCGCTGGAACTAACAGACCGGACATCCTGGATCCTGCTCTGCTGAGGCCAGGACGCTTCGACAGACAGATCTATATAGGTAAGCAGAGTCTTTACTGCCTTACTGCAGTCTCTACATCTTAAAGTATTGGAATGTGCCCAAATCATTCTCCCACTAACCACAGTGATGCCAGTTGGTGTGAGGTGTTGATTTGCTGTTTGCATTCTCCAAACATGCCATTCAGAAACCTGATTAAGTGTAAACATGGCAGCGAAATGTACCTACGAGGGATATCTGGGTTTTCCAATGTGATCAGCCTGCTGGAGGACGCATGCGGTGCCCTGTAAAATCATGCTCATGTTGAAGCTCCGCAGAATAAGTTTTAGTTGGAATGCAGAGGAAGAACTCTCTCCTGTCTTCTGTCAGGTCCGCCGGACATCAAAGGCAGGGCTTCCATCTTTAAAGTCCACCTGCGACCAATCAAACTGGATCCCAATCTGGACAAAGACGGTCTTTCAAGGAAGATGGCAGCTTCCACACCGGGATTCACTGGTTTGTAACAGTCGGATCGAATAACAACAATGTAACAGCACTATCGCAAAAATGTTCTTTTATTTTGAATCATTATATTTGATGACTGTTTTTTCCCGTTTGAATGAATCAGGAGCTGACATCGCTAGTGTCTGCAACGAAGCAGCTCTGATCGCAGCCAGGCACCTGAACCCGTCCGTCAACAGCAAACACTTTGAACAAGCCATCGACCGGGTCATTGGAGGTGAGTGTGACATCACCTAGTACGTGACGGCTGTGTACGGTTGTTTCTTGTAATGGTCTTTGTGTGGTAAACGGGACAGTTTGTATCTGACGTCCTTACAGTCTGACTCCCGGGTTGTTTGCGTTCAGGTCTGGAGAAGAAGACTCAAGTCCTGCAGCCCACAGAAAAGAAGACCGTCGCCTATCACGAGGCCGGTCACGCCATCGTCGGGTGGTTCCTGCAGCACGCTGACCCTCTGCTCAAGGTAGGAGCTCTGTGCGTGCTTGGGCTGTGTCGTTTCTGTTATGACTCCAGCTGCTCTGTAAATCTCCACCAGTTACAGGTGTAGATGGAAGCTGTGGGTTAACCACACATGGTTTGTATCCAGGTGTCGATCATCCCGCGGGGGAAGGGTCTGGGTTACGCTCAGTACCTGCCTAGGGAACAGTACCTGTACACCAAAGAGCAGCTGTTCGACAGGATGTGCATGATGCTGGGAGGGCGTGTGGCTGAGCAGGTTTTCTTCGGACGGATCACCACCGGCGCTCAGGATGACCTGAAGAAGGTCACGCAGTCTGCCTACGCTCAGGTACGCACATGTGACTAAAAACACACTCCCTGTTTGATTCCCACCAGCAGAAGAGTGCTGTTTGTGCCGTAACGCATCGCTCTGCACCCTGATTTGCAGGTGGTGCAGTTTGGGATGAGCGAGAAGGTGGGACAGGTGTCGTTTGACCTCCCCCGACAGGGTGAGGTAGTCATGGAGAAGCCGTACAGTGAGGCGACAGCAGAGATCATTGACGAGGAGGTCAGAGAGCTGATAAATCGAGCGTACGAGCGCACCCTGCAGCTCATCCAGGACAAGAAGGACCTGGTGGAGCTGGTGAGACTGTCTAATACGCAAAAACACAACCTCAGATAAACGCAGAGTATTCTTTCCATGATTCATAGTTCAAGTAAGGATGAACTGAAGCCCAGATGTGGGGCTTCAGTTCATCCTCTGTCTGAAACAAACCAGTTAAGCTCCACCTCTGCTGTGATCCTCAGGTGGGGAAGCGCCTGCTAGAAAGGGAGGTGTTGAACAAGGCTGACATGCTGGAGCTGCTGGGCCCTCGGCCGTTTGAGGAGAAGTCAACGTATGAGGAGTTTGTGGAGGGGACCGGGAGCTTCGAGGAGGACACGAGCCTGCCGCAGGGCCTCCGAGACTGGAACCAGGAGAGAGGAGGGGAGGCGGAAGACAAAAATTCAACTCAGGACAAACGGCAGGCCATGTAGAGTCCAAAAAACACCCAACACGTACCAGCTGCAAAAAAAAAAAAGGTCTGACAGAGTCTGGGAGGTCTGGGGGGGGTACTGGGTTTAGGAGGAGCACGTGGCCATTCACCCCGGTTTGTTCTACCTTCAAGAAACTTTCTAGTTTAACACGTTTAAGATAAGGTGAAATTAACATGTTCATGAACTTAAACATAAAAATACAAGATTTCACCAGGTGATTTCAATAAAATTGTGCTTTTTATTCAGTCAACTTTAACTTTACTTGTCCGTCCTGCAGAGGATCAATACCGCACAATCAGCTGCACTGCTCGTTAGTGCTCTGTCTTTAAAATGTAAATAGTTGGTGGCCTGTATAACTAATATGAAGAAAAATGAAGGTTGGTGGTTATAATTTCCTACTACTTGTTAAAAATTGTATTTTAATATATAACTGCATTGATATTCTGCTCTGGCATCACGTCCACGCGGATTTGATTTTAATTAGATGCTAAAATAAAGTAAGGAAGTGGGCAAACGGGCAATGTTGGGAGCACCTCAGATACCTCCTCCTCAGATCCACCAGTTTCTGGTCAGCCTCTGCTTGTAGAATTTGTCCAGAGGTTTCTTCTTTCCAACATCTGGACAGGAAGTTGCTCCAGAATGCCTTTAAGACTCAAACAGGAGGCTAGAATGTACACGATGCACATTTAAACGGTGCATACAGACTGACTCTTCCTTTATTTATTCTTCTAAAGGGGAGACCCCTTCCTGACCGATGCCTTGCTGATAATGAGGATTATTTTCTGTGTCCAGACTAAAAACACTGGATCGTTTTTAAACTTTTCTTTTTGTGGACAGCAGTTACTCTTCATACTGACGCGAAGAGTCGTCGGACCGAAACACCTCAGCAGCACCCGTCACTTCGGATTTCTTTTTGTACAAACGTTTTGATCATATTGATTTTTGTGTGATGTTAACAGAAAATAAAAAAATGAAACATTTCGTGTAAGTTATGCTGATTTAAAGTAAAAATCCCCCTAAAATACTGAAACACAGACCGTCAGTGATGGCTGCAGGCGTCGCATTTCAGCCCCAACGCGAGCCGTTCCCCTCAGAGTTAAAGGCTCGTCTTATTTTATGTTTTAAATTTTCATCAGCAGCATCCCTGAAGGGACTGAAACTAATTAAACTTATCTCACTAACGAATACTTTGAAGCCTGTTAGCATCCAAATGAGATGAGCGCCTCCTGGTAGTCTCCCAGCACAGGAGATACTTCATGTCCTGATTTGTGTAAACTGATTTTTCATATTTTAAGATGGATTTTCAGGTTATTAATAAGCTTTATATTGGAAGGTGGAGCCCCTACAATGTTAGCGGGGGAACTCGTACAGCTCCAGCGAGGAAGAACCCGCTGGTGTCGGGCATACGGAAAGGCAGCCTTATCTACTCCCCGTGTGTTTATATATAAGAACTACTGAGCCTATTGCAATAATAACCAATAATAATGTAGAGTAGTAACAAGAATCATAACTTGGATTTATAGAGCACCCTTCAAAGTACCCGAGGTTTCTTTAGACACAGAAAAAAGGCTTCAGTGAGCATGTGACATTTCAGCTGCTTTTTGAGATGGAGGATCACAGATCTCAGAGGGGAGCATGTTTCAGAGTGAAAGCCGCAGCGGTGAAAGCCCTGCTCCCAAAGGACCGCTGTCTGGAGTGCTTGATGGAGAGTGAGCATTTGTACTGAGGAAGGTAGAGTCCAGCGTGGGGAGAAGAATGTCTGATGAGTCCTGGGGAGCAAGAGCACGAAGGGATTGGCATGTGAGGAGGATTTTATAGGACATACGGGCTTTCACTGGGAGCCAGTGGAGGTGCGTAGCTAGGGGATGATTCAGGGTCACCTGATCCAGCCCTAACTACTCTGTCACAGACGAGCCTAATCTTAAAAGTGGGACAGCTGAAGGCTCTGCCTCCCATCCTACTTTTAAAAACTCGAAGAGTGTAGTGTAATGTAAGCCTGCAGCGTGAGAGCGACGTGCTCTGTCCTGATAATGAGGCGCTCTGAGGTCTTTAAGATGTGAGTCTGATCAGTCAGGACTTTGTATTTGAGGAGAAGGATGTGAAATTCAGAATTTAACAGGGAACCAATGAAGAGAAGCTAACATGAGCGTAACATGATCTCTTGCAGCGCTGTTGTGCATTTACACCTGCTTCACATAGCAGCTGATCAGCGGTGCAGAGGTAAGAGAGCAGTGAAGATCATGAGCTCTGTAAGAAAATAAGGTCTCCATTTCACCAGTGTTGTTTTAATCAGCAAATCAGTGTCACACCAGTTTTGGGAAGAAGATCAAGGTTGGAATTTCCAGTTAATGACAGAAAATATACAATGACGGTGACTCTGAGAATACAATGTTTGTACGAGCTCGGACAGTCGAGCCCCTGAAGATGAAAACACAAGTTCAATTCAATTTTATTTATAGAGCCAAATCACAACAACAGTCGCCTCAAGGCGCTTTAGTTTTCTTTGTAAATGTGAAAAAACCACAAACATGCTGCTGTGTAAAGTGAAAAATGTTTTTTTTATTGTGTTGACATTCCGAACAGTCCCAGTACATCTTTATCTATAAAAACTAATCCCTGAATGCTGTAGCTTCATTTCCACCTAAAGCCGCGACACCGCTTCTGTCTCAGCCAACAAAATCAGCGAGACGTCACTTTCTCTCCATCTTCATCTTTAACAGGCTGGCGTCGCGCTCCTCAGTGAGTCACAGCGTTTCCTTGCATATGGCGTGCGGCATCTTCTGTTAACCTTTGACCCTTAAAGCTGCTGAGAAAGTCTTTGAGTGTTTAAAGTTCAGCTTTTTTTTTTTTTTTTTGTCCAAATTTGAGAGTTTTGGTAAATCGAGGCTGTAAAACTCTACATTTACACATCAGTTCTGTATCAAAAAGCTACAAAGGTGCTACATTCTTGTTCGGGTGTAATGGCAACGCGTCTCCACGCACAGGCTGCACTGTCCAGGAGGGGGTCCCCCCCCCCCTATCATTTCTCCTCCAGCTGCAGAGCCACTGCAAAGCTGATCCAGAGTCAGTTTGGAGTCTATTACAGGTTTTAAAGAAAACCTTGTGTAGCCCTTTATCTGTGCTGCAAAGTGAGGCCGATCAGCAGCTGAGACAGTTTCTCCGTCCAAGTTTGTCTCTTATTCAAGTTAAAAAAAAAAAAAAAGAAAGTCCTTTGGCTACCTGCTGGATGTTTAAGTCTCCGCCTCACTGTCATGTTCATCTTGATTAGTGGGTTCATTTTGGTTTAGAACTCAGCGACCAATGAGACGAGCAGAGAGGCAGAGAAGAGAGAGAGCGACAGGGAGATGGCTGCCGCCCCGCCGCAGTCCTTAGCGTTCTCCTGTAGGACGAAACAAATGTGATGCTCAGTCCTTTCATAGCAGTTTCTCTGAGTACATCAGCGTTCACCTGTTTCACCACACAATCTTTAGTTAGCTTTACAGAATGAACAGCAGATGACTTGATGTATGAACGGTCAGTGAAGTTGATTTTTCTGTCCATACTCTGGACTCATTTTAGCATACATTATATTCTAACTCATGCATACTTAAAGCGAGTAGACCTACAGTATCACAGTTTTTCTCTTTTTCTCTCTTTTTTTGCTTTTCTTAGATGCACTCAAACTTTCTATTTACATGGGGCAGCCAATCAAACGACAGCTGGGTTAAAGGGAGGAGGAGCTAAAAACAGCTTACTTCAGACTTGAGTGCTAGAAAATAAGGCAACATATTTTTGGTTTGGCTTCTTTAGTTCTGAACCAACTGATGCAGAGTCTGAGATATTTAACCCACAGTCTGAGTGTTCCTTTGGAGATCATCCTGACATCCTGATAAATGATGCACCACAGTCCAGTGTAAGCAGTAGATTATTACAAGCTATGACCCATCATGCAAACCTCTTCTAGGGGAGTCCAAGAATAAAAATAAGGAGCTGGATTTGTGCCCAATACATCTGCTTTAAACAGCCATCAAGTGTGACGGGACTGATGTTAGAGATTATACACAAGCTGCAACAACGACTGTTAAATGATTAGTGGAACGTTTAAAGTGAAGAATTTGAATCCCTTAAAAAAAATCACTCTTAACAAAAGAGGTGATGTTCTGCTTTTCAGCTGACTCAAGGATTTGTTGGCTGTGCTGCAGGACAGAGGTGCATCAGTACCCGATTGACCCTGAGACCTGCTTCGCCTTTATTTCACACACAGACACACACAGCTTATGTGTTGTTGCTAGTTTTCTGTGTGAGATTCTTTATTTGCCTTTAAAATCACCACGTTTGTGTTTGTTAAATAGTCTTGCAGTTCTTTTGCGTTCACAGTCAGCAGTGGGGCTCAGCACTGACCTTTGGGTGGTAGGCGTGGCATGACTGAGGGCGCCGCCGCACCTTCTGGGATTTCATCCTGTTGCACTTCACTGTGGCGTTATGTTCACAGATATTAAGGAAAACTGGAAGCTCGCTGTGAAATAAATATATAATGGGGACGAAATTTTGTAGAAACAAAGCATGACGTAAATCTGAAGTTTCAAAGCCTCAGCTAAGAGCAAACAGATGTTGTGAGACTGCTCAGATAATCTATTAATGTTCTCATTGGCTGTGGAGTGCCAGTGAACTGCATCACTGATCTGAGGGAAAATAAGGAGATTACAGCACAAATGTGATTTTCCAGGCTGAATGCAGTCTTGCCCTCCCTGCAGTATTTGTGGCTATAAGCATCCAGCAGGGGGCAGCATTTTGCTGCTGAGAATGTGAAGGATATATTTGATCTCTTTGGGCTCCAGCAGAATGGCTCCATACTGACGGGAGCAGTCACAGTAGGCCTGAGTCACGACCAGAACCAGGTTACTGTCAGGAATCTGCTGCACCACAAACATCCTGAAACGCAAAGAAGGCCGCAGTCAGTCACTGCCAATCATTCAATTATGCTTAAGTTGAAACTTCCTCGATTTAAGACCAGATTAACAAACTATGAATGAAGCTTGTTTTGATTTTTAAAGTGTGTGTGTGTGTCATACTTCTGGCAGCGTCCACACTTGTTGAGGCTGTTGGCCTCTCTGACAGACGGGTCGTACATGAAGCCTGGGTAAGCTGTGTCGCAGGGCTGCAGCGCGTCCAACTTCTTCTGCTTATGAGCTGTGGAAACCACACACACACACGTACACACGTTACACAGCATCGCTACACCTGAGATGGCTAGTCCCACTTTTTGATGAGCACAAGATGCCCACAGATGTGCTGTACTCACATGTGTGATAGCCAGCTTTGGCTGAACAGATGAAGATGGATCACAGTGACGACACAGACGGCACACGGAGGTGATGAAGGTGAGGATGGTGATGGAGAGATGATGATGAAGATGAGTAATTTATTAATGAGACCAAAATAAAACAAAACTTTTCTAATCGTTTTCTTTCATAATTTTGTTCTGTAAAGTTTCAGCCTCTGGAGACACGACACTGACACCTGTGCTCACTAATGTGATAACGATGGAAAGGATCACCAAAGATACTCAGTTCATCCTGAGAGGAGCACGAAAACCTCTTGAATTGCTCTACATATTTTTCCAGACAGCTACAGCATGCTGCCACCTACAAATATTCCTCCACTAATATGAGGTGCAATGATAAAGTTACGCACATAACTCTGTATAAATAACAGAAAATGTATCCAGCCACCTCCTGTAGCTCTTTGGGGTAAATGCTGAGATCCTGCTGAGCCAGCTGAGAGACATAGTTCCTCCACTTAGCTGGACACGCTTCCTCAGCCACGAGGCATCCAGGAAAATCCTGGTCAGATGCTGAACCACCTTAATGGACTCAGGTTAATTGGGAGTAGACAGAGCTCTTTACCCCATCTCTAAGGTGGAGCCCAGACACCCATCACATGGATTACTCTTTTGGTCAGGTCATGGTCCTACGTGAGAGGATGATTTGCCGTTATGGTGGCGGGGTGGGTAAAGGATTTTTTCTGCTCAAGTAACCCCATGAGCTATGCTGTCTGAGGCAGTTTGGCACCAGTAAGGTCCAAACTATCGATTGAGCAGGAGGTCAGGATGCGATTCCCTATGAAGAGAAAAACAAGGGGCCTGTTCTAACCAAGCAGACTGTATCCGGCCTAACCCAAATGGCCCTGCCTTCCTTTGGCTCCCATGGTCTGCTGTTACTTTCAGGATCAGGCAGCAGTCAGAGGTGGAGCTCATGGTGCTGTGATCCCCAGTTACCAGTACTGGTTGTAGGGATACATTGAGAGTGGTTGTTGTTCCCCTTCACAGGGTTGTGCCGTGTTAGATCCACTGTAATCAGACTGATCTCTACTGTAATGTCCTGAGCAAGCATCGACCTGTGGGACTGAAAATGAAACCAATTTGCTAAAACGTGCAGCTCCACTAATGACCTCTTGAGGCTGCCTCGAAAAAGGAGGCAATCCCAAACCAGCGCTCCTCATAAGATTTAACTTCCCGAGATACAAAGACTTCCCAGATTTGATGGTGATTAAGTGCACTGTCAGAGAACTTGACCAGTCAGGTCAGTCTGAGCTTACCATCCACAAAATAATCAGAGTGCCAGAGACCACAGAGGTTAAAGTCCAGCAGGAACCTGACAGAGACACAAAAACACCTTGTTAAAGACAAAAAAGCACCTGACATCCAGCAGCAGTAAGTGCTGTGAGGTAAACTGTGAAACAACTGAGGCACAAAGCAAAATTTAACTCTGCAGGTTTCAGTCAGTAAAAGTCTTTTGGTTCGGTGATTTAAAAGTTTGAGTCCAGCAGTCTTTAAGTACCACTATTTGATTTATTTTTAAGCTTTAAAAATCTCTCAGTGGTGGAGGTTCAGTTTGCAGTTAAAATGATTTATGCATATTAAAAATGTGAACCACGCACACTGGCTCATTATCCACACCCTGAAGACATGAAGCGGACAGAAGTCTCCCTGGACTTACAGTGTGTTTGCTGTTAACATCATTATGAAGACGTTTCTAATATAATAAGAACAGAAGCACATTAATAGTGACTGAGAGATGTAGATTTCATCCTATGTTATACCTTTACAACACTGCAATGAAGTTGGAAACTGTATACAGTACAAAATATACGATAATATATATTTTTTTGTCTGTCACAGATTGAGTGACCCCACAGATTTGTGTGCCTAATCTGTCCATTTCCAGCTCCTTCTTTTATTCTTGTACTCTACCAGAGCAGCTTTGCATGATCAAAAGTTCAAAATAATCCTTTATTTGATTCTAAGCATTGATTTACATTTGGTTGCAAAATCCCGTCAGCGTAGGACATTGTGATAATGTGATGTTGCTCTTTAGCACTTACATCAGCGCGTTGGAGAAGAACCATCTCATCAAAGCCATGATGACGTAGAATGGCTGCAAAAGGGAAAACAAGAAATGAGAACTTTTGGTAAAATAAAATCTTAAAAACCATCAGAAGATTTCTTTAATCTTCTGATGGTAACCATGTGTTGGTATATAAGAAATTTACAACAGATAATATCAATAGTATAAGAGACAAGCCTCTGTTGTCATCAGTAGCTAAATAGTAATGAGACTCACGCTGAGCAGAGGTCGTGCGCTGCTGGCGTGATGGTGGCCGGTCTTGCACATTGCCTGGTAGTCGAACAACGACACTCTGGAAAAAAGAAAGCTCAGTTTGAATTGTGACAGGAGAAAAGCGTGTTCTATTCTTCATAGTTACCAACTTATTTTACAATAAAAAGAAACATGAGTGGAAAATGTGTCTTGAGTTAGTCATACTTTTTAAACATTCCCATCTTGAGCAACGAAGCCATGATGGACCCGTCTACCTCGCCAAAGAAGCGACCAATCTGTGAAAAACAACATGAAGCCAGCAGGCTTTTGTTATTAGAATTCAGCAACATGAAAATTAAGGATCATTTACAGTGTGGAGTACTTTTACAGAGCTGTAAAACTAACAGCAAACTGGAATGGGGAGTTCATGGACTAAAACTGGATGGTAATAAAAGTGTCACCCCTCTGCTGAGCACCAGTGATACCTGTGAGGCATCTCTGCAGGACCCAAAGGACACTAAAAGGTAAAACCCACAGCAGGCAGAGCCTGCTCATCATTGGTCAAGAAATACAGTTTCTGCTTTATCGCAAAACTTCAGAACAGTTTCTTTCCTCAGGCTGTGAGACCACTGAATCATCTTTCACAATTAGTTTTAATGTTGAGATTTAGTTTTGATTATTTTATTTTGGATTTTTTGTGTTAGTTTCATTTGGTGAAACAACACTACCATGTCTATGTGCAAGCTGCTGTTTCACAATAATAAGTGATCGTGAATCTCAAACAGCTACATTGGTTTGAAAGAGGAAATGAGGGAACTACAGTCTCTTGACAAGCACCTTTTAAATGACTGTAACTCCATGACAGTTTTTGCTGGAGACAAAATTCTAACTATTCTGGTAAGAATAGAAATGAAACGTTATGTTTATTTTTATCTTTTTTGTATCCCAGTAGCACAAAACATTCACTGGGTACTGCTGTTTGAACACAGGTAGAAAAATCAGCTCCTCTTAGATTTTGCCATGCCCAGTTCATAGTACCATAACTCCCAGGCCACTGTGGGCTGGAGAGAAAATAAAAATGGTTCCTAAAAATGAGAATTATTTTGTAATCTTGCAGCCAAAATTACACAATAACTTACTTGGGTGTTAAACGGTAAAGTTATCATGCTGACCCATCCATCCACCCTTCCCTCCTCTGTTACTCCTGTTATTATTACTATAGTCACCAGAGGGCGGTGTTGCCATAAAATGAAATTCTTGGTCATGTGCTCAGGCCAAATGACTCTACATAAATGTCAACCAGTAGCCATTTAGCTGGTAATCTAAGTGCATGCACATCCTTAAAAAGTAGCCTCAAATTAAATTTCCTACACTCAACTTTCCTGAGTTTGTGCAAAACATTACTCTCTTGGCAGTCTCATCTATTCTAAGATAGCATGTAAATAGAACATGATCAGTCAGCAGGTTTACATGAAGATAAGGAATGTTTCAGACACATTTAAAGTCACTGCTGCGTTCAGCCTGAGAGTCTGCAGTGTGTCGGCTCTTTCCGGCGCTCAGCAGCAGCAGCAGGACCAGAGTCTCTGAATTATTCAGAGCATTTTGTCTCAGCGGCTCTGTTCACGTTTACAAGCTGCTCTCTGCCCACACTTCATCTCTGTCTGGACGGATTCTCCCAGCAGCCTCGGAGGATTCACAGGTTGCTGAGTGTTGGCAGTTGGATGCTGCTTACACACCAAAGTTGACCCTCTGTTTTCCTGGCAGCAGCAGTTGCAGCAGAGTGTAAACACACTAAACTAAACAAAAGCACAACGAGTGCCAGGAGCTCGGCGGGCGCGCAGCAGCAAAGGCAACCAGGCAGGTTCAGGTTTCCATGCTGCCTCTGAAGGGCTTCAACCAAAACTGGCTCATTATATTTAACAGGCTGAGAAAATATCCACCAGTAAAGATCAGGATTCATGAAATCATTGTCTAAACAAAAAAGCAGAAACTTTGATTTAAAGAAAAATTAAATGTTTTTTCAGACAAAATTTTTCTGGAGAACCTGCAAATCTGTGAGTTACAAGTAAGGCGTTCACAATAAGTTAAAAGCGGGCATGGTGTAAGGTTTATTAGAAGAACAACAGCATGCTTGGATCCTAAGTGTGAACCCTGAATGCTTTCAAATATATATATATATATAGAATACTTATATATGTGTATATATATATAGTATATATATTTATATATATGTGTGTGTGTGTTTTGTGTGTTATATGTGTGTGTGTGTGTGTGTGTGTGTGTGTGTGTGAAAACTAAGGAACAACCTACATGACGAAAAAATGAACCCACTGTGAAAAGTGTCAAAATTGCAGTTCCTCTAATGTCCACTAGAGGCTGGAACATAAACTGAGTCAGTCCCCACAGACTCCCATGTTAAACTGTCCAACTCTGTGGCACTAAAAATCAACACATAAAAACAGTTTAGTTCATAGTTACAGTATAATCACAGTATAATCTCAAATGTATGCTTAGCCTCAGATATTTGGAAGAAAATGTACGGATATATGCGAAGCTTCCAAACATGGTCCAAGAGAGGAAAACACAGGAAGCAGTTAGGAAACCTGCCGAAATGTAACAACAGGTGTATGACTTGGCCTCCAAATTCCTTAACCTAATTCTTTATTCAATGCAATCCAGCTTGAGATGGGCTGTAAAAACAAGCCTAGTATCCAATAGCTCATATGTCATGTCTTGGTGACCTAATAGGATGATCTGATATCCTTGTGTCGGTGTTGTTCCCACATCATCATAATAAATGTTGTTCCAGGTTCAACATTGCAAGTGACCAATCACATTGTTGTGACGTCATACTTTTGCAAGCCAAGCGATTCATTCATTTATGAAATTCCAATGTTGTAAGGACAATATGTATAATGCTTAATGTTTATTAAAGAACAGTATCCTGAAATGCAAAGAATTCAAATTGCTGGATCGGTGGACAGAGGCGGTTTCTCGCAATTTATGTAGATTTTTTAAGGCGTTTTTTTCCGGTCGCAAAAGTATGACATCACAACAATGTGATTGGTCACTTGCAATGTTGAACCTGGAACAACATTTATTATGATGATGTGGGAACAACACCGACACGAGGATATCAGATCGTGCGTGACTAATATCCCAGGACCTTTGAGGTCTTCTGAGGTATTTGGGCTGTTTTGGTGTCATAAAGTTTAATTCTGAGAGACTAATGTTCTAAAATGTCCAAAGTATGTACAGTCCAACAGTTTCATTCAGTCATTTTCTACTTTTTTAGTTGTAAGTAGTTTCCAGTAATTATGTTTCCCCTTACAGGGTCGCTAGCAGGCTACAGACTCCTGACGTGTTCATTTCATCACATTATCACACCTTATAGTTGTACTTTTCAGTCTAACCTGCTTTCAGCCCTGAGGTTGAACACTGTACTCTCACAGAAGGTTTTCAGACAGGATCATTGATCATCACTCGGACGTTTCCTCCACACATGGCCAGCACCACCCAAAACAAGTCTTCTGTTTTGCTTTGTCACCCTGCTCACTACACCTTCTCTTGCTGACCCATTTCTTATAGTCAGCACTGACTTAATTTCTCTGTTGATTAAATATTTACCATGCCCTGCACAGCGGCTTCGGCATCGGGGTGGATTCGGGGCGTTTCCGCAAACTTCCTGCAAATCCCAGAGCTCAGCAAAACATCGAGGAAGTGCTTCATCATAATATCTGCTTAGTAAGACCACTGGGAATGCAGGAGGCATGCAAATAATGAAGAATGAGCTGATTCTGGCTTTAGGGTTACAGAATATTTTGCTGCTGCATGTAGCTGATGTTTCTCCTTTTAATCATACTTGAACACAGCTCTACTAGAACGTCTAGTTTTCATTTAACAGCAAATATCTCACTGCTACTCATCAGATATTGCACCAGTTGAACAAAAACATCCAGTGGCATTGCATTTGCAACAGCTCAACCTAAAAGCTTCTCACCTCCATGGGCACTTGTTCACTATGTGTTTTAGTTCCGTTCTTTTTGTGAAGGACAATCCACAAAAACATTAATCTCATGTTTAGCTTGTAGTCAGCTTCCATCTGCACTTCCTGGACAGGAATGTAGAACAGTATAATACAAATACACACATATACATATACAGAGGGCATTAAACACAAATAGAATGATGTAATAATTAGCCTAACAGCACACTTTAATTTATTATTGACCTTTATTTAACCAGGAAAAGTCCCATTGAGATTAAAAACCTCTTTTTCAAGGGAGTCCTGGCCAAGAGGCGACAGCAATAATAATATACATAACATTTAATAAACATAACAAGACAATTTCTCCATCACTGTCCTATCTGAATCCAAACATCACAGGCTGTGTGATATAACCATTTTTAGAGGTTTAGAATTAAACAACAAGGCACATACTTCTGCCCTCACACTCGCTCTGCATCTCCATTTTGCTTTCAAAGATCTCCTGCAGCATGACCGAGAAACCACCTTTATTCTTTGTACAGGCTTTATAAAGACATTATAAGGGAGTGACACACCTTTCTGGTCTGAAAAGTACAGCCAAGGTGGAAAAGGCATTAAATCTGCATTCTTTCTAATGACCAGCAGTGGCCGACTACTCTGGCTGCATGAAGACTTACGTCTGTGAGATTACAGGCTCTATTTGTAGACATCTTGCTTCATTAAGAGACTTCACTGACCAATCGTGATCTCACGGTGGCTACGTCAGTCACAGATATCTGGGTCAAGACTTTCCATTTCCTGTCCCCCGGACACCATTTATGAAATCAGATATGTGTTAATACATGGTGAATAGAAATGCAATGCAACTGCTACACAACTACAGACTGCTGAAAGATGAAACATTAGAAGCAGCCCTAAAACTCTCATCCCTTGCCTACAGATTGTTCATGGCCAGTTTGAAGAAATTAATTTTGATCATTTAAGATAAAATAACTAACTTTGGCTTTTGTACAGATGTGTTTAAATCAAGTTTCCTGAAGATTTTAAATAGAGTTCCCCAAGGCTTAATTTTAGGCCCCATTTAATTTTTTTTATTAATAAAATAGGAAATAGGAAATAATATGCCTACAGATAAAAAGAGCACCTTTATGCTGATGACACCATACGCTGCTTCGTTTGCTCTTCTCTGAATTAAACTGCTGAGGAGCTACAAGTTGCCTTTCAGCAGCTGAGGGTATTATTTTGAAATTTAAAATGGGTTCTTAATGGTAATCTTAGGAGCTTGAAAAAAGTAGGTGTCTGGACTTC